AAACTGTAATTTGCTGGAGCCATTTGGTTAGGTGGTCTGCAGATAATTGTAATAAATAAGTCTAATAAATAAATAATTAGAATTAACTAAGGGAGAGTTTAATATTGTCATTCAGCACTGCAAGGCAACCAGAACTAACACAGTAGCGTATCATGTGCTAATTATGCATATACAAGTATCCAAGCTTTAAAAACTTATTTTGAAAGTGCAGCATTGTTTTGCTTAGACCAAATTCCCTTTAAGAACAAGAAGGCAGGGGTTTTACAGGGAAGTCGCTTACTTTTTGTTTTTTAGGGTTAGAAATATGGCCAAAGTGGCCCATTTGAGATATTTCCTGGCCCAAAAAAGATTCCCATTTCTGGTAGGGCATTTCTTTCTCCTTAATTTTCCCAGGAGGACGAGGGCTCCCTGCACTGCCCAACACTTCTTGCTGAAACTCCTCACTCTGCTGTTCTTGAGACAATCCCAACTAATGCTCTGGATGGGCCAGTGGGCCTGTTTAAGGACCTGATTAAGGAAATTGTACTTAACAGAATAATAGAGTAACAGTAACAGAATAACAGAGTTTAGATGGAACCTTGGAGGTCTTCTAGTCCAGCCCACTGCTCAAGCAGGAGACCCTATACCATTTCAGACAAATGGCTGTCCCATCTCTTCTTAAAAACCTCCAGTGCTGAAGCACCCACAACTTCTGAAGGCCAGCTGTTCCACTGGTTAATTGTTCTCACAGTTAGGAAATGTCTCCTTAGTTCTAGGTTGCTTCTCTCCTTGATTGCTTTCCATCCAGGTGTTTCTTGTCCTGCCTTCAGGTGCTTTGGAGAATAGGTTAACTCCTTCTTCTTTATAGTAGCCCCTCAAATATTGGTAGACTGCTATCATGTCACCCCTAGTCCTTCTTTTCACTAGACCAGAGTAGACATACCCAATTCCTGCAAATCGTCTTTCATATGTTTTAGGAATTGGGGATTTTTCCTACCTGGGGAGGGAATGGCTGAAAACCAAGACCATTTTCACATTCTTCTGTTTTGCTGCAGTGCTTTAATTGGGACTGTACCTGAAGCTGGGCAGAGTCCGCCAGGCTTCCCTGGCCAGCTGGTTTTGCAAGTTTCTGCTCCTGCTGAGAGCTTGGTCCTCCAGACAAGAAGGCTGTCAGCCTCTGTCCGGATCCTTTCACAGCAGTGCTGGAATCTTCCCTAATCTGAGTTCAACACTTGAAGGCTGATGATATGATCGACGTGCATTTGTTTTTCCCTACATAAATAAATCCTGTCCTGTTTAGAAACCGGAATGTTTCAGATGCCTCAGAGCTCATCAGCAGAATGAAATGATGCTGATCAGACCCCGTTTCTGCTATTTTAGAAACTAATCATCTTGGATTAGAGGCCCTGATGTGAGGGACCGCTGGGACTCCTGCTTTTTAGGAAATCTGGAAAGAGATTGAGACCTGGTCAAGGTGACCATCTGCAGACGAAGGCTTTCTTTCTCTCTGCCAGGAGGTCAGTGCATCAAGAACAGCTACAGTGCAAACAAAGGACGGCCAAATGGTGCCAAAATATACAGGCAGCAGCAGTAATATAAAATCTGTTACACAAAGGATTTTCAGAGGCACCAAAGCCTAGCAGAGCCATCTTTCAGTTGATGGACTGTTTTAACAACCAACATTGTTCAGCTAAGAGAGTGCAAGCAGCACATCGCTTCTGTTTAGCAGCCCTTGAAGACAGAGATCACTGGGATAGCTCTCTCCCAAACTAATGGCTATTACAGTAAGGAAATAACACTCCTTAATTTTTACAATGTTTTCTGTTACATCATAGTATGTACTGCCCATAAAAATACCATTTCAACAACACAACATAAATTCATAATATATACTGCAAGTTATATGGTATAGAACAGCGAACAGAGAATAATAGAGTTGGAAGGGTCCTTGGAGGTCTTCTAGTCCAACCCCCTCTCAGGCAGGAGACCATTGACTGGTCTTAACACTAGGAATTTTCTCCTTAGTTCTAGGTTGCTTTTCTCCTTGATTAGTTTCCATCCATTGTTTTTTGTTGTGCCTTTTGGTGCCTTGGAAAATAGTTTGACCCCCCTCATCTTTGTAGGAGCCTTACAAGGAAATGAATTGATAAAGAGCAACTCTTCTCCTTACTTCGTTGCAGAGGTGCTATTCAGCAGGTTCTGATCAGTTCTGGAGAACCGGTAGCAGAAATTTTGAGTAGTTTGGAGACCCGGCAGATACCGCCTCTGACTGGCCCCACCCCATCTATTCTCTGCCTCCCGAGTCCCAGCTGAGCAGCTTTTGTTGCCCTGCCCTGGAGAACAGAGCTGGAAAGCAGGTTAGTGGGGTGGGGGAGGGAATGGAGATTTTGTAGTATCCTTCCCCTGCCACACCCACCAAGCCACTCACACAGAACCAGTAGTAAAAAATGTTGAATCCCACCACTGGTTTGTTGGCCTCTTTTCTGTAAATTTGACCATAGCCAACAGAGAAATCAAAGGAGATTTCCCAGTTACTTGCATCATCATCAGGTCAGGAAAAGCAGTGCCTGCTAAAGGTTAGTTCAGAAGCAACAGCAGTCCAAATGGGCTGCAGGAGCCTTGACCAGGAGCACAGCCACCGCCTTCTGCCTCAGTGTTCCTCCTTTGAGGCTGCAGCCATGGACCACCCGCTCCATTGGCCCCACCTGAGGATTGTTTTTGAGAAGAATGTAATAATTTCACTGCCGCTATCATATCCCTTTTGGGTGGGTTCAATTGTGTATTAATCTTTAAAATTCTCTGAGTCACTGTATGTATTTGAATCCAGAATGTTCTGTTTCTTCTTTACGTCCACCAAACATGATAAAACGTCCCTTCTTGTTGTTCACATTTTTGACATTCTAGACAAATTTCTCTAGTGACATACACCCATGATACATCATTTTATAAAAATTCTCCTTAAGATTATAATATAATATACATTTCAGTCCTTTTAACCACATTCTCAGTGAGTATTAGCTCATTTGTCATACATGTTTTCCCTTGTTTTTCTTCTATAACAAATTTCCCTTTATATAGTTTATACATTTTAGCAGTCACGTGTCCATCATTTGCAGACAATTCTGTTTCAAACTCAGCCATGTTAAATGCTATTTAAGATGCAATTAGTTTTCGAATTACAACCATTCATTTAGTAACCATTCCAAGTTACAATGGCACTGAAGAGAGAGACATACGACCACCATTCATTGCTACTTCCCTTGGTCATGTGATCAGAATTCAGCAGCTTGGCAACTGGCATGGATCTATGATGGCTGCAGGTCCCCTTTTGCGACCTGTTGACAAGCAAAGTCAATGGGGAAGCCACTTAACAGTGGTGTTACTAACTTGACAACTGCAATGGTTCCCTTAACAACTGTGGCAAGAAAGATTGGAAAACTCTTAACTCTTAACAACGGTCTTGCTTAGCAGCAGAAATTTTGGGCTCACTTGTGGTCCTAAGTCAAGGATTACCTGAATTTCAGGAATGAGAAAATGCCTTCCCACTCAGTCTTCTCTTCTTAAGGTTGATTATTGCTTATAGTTTCTTTGTAGAGTTTACTTTCTCGTTGCCCTTCTTTTACTGCCTCATTCTTCTTCCCCTTCTCTGCCCTTTGTTTTGTTTTACTTTCTGCCACAAACCTTTCATCAATTGATTGCAAATGTCTTTTATATTTTGTAGCACCTTCTCCCCTCTATAGCTCTTTTTCTATTAACTTATTCTGCCATAGGATCCTGCTTATCCTGCTGTATCCAGACGCATTAGATCACCTGTGGAAGATTAAGAATTCGTTTGTAGAGAACCATTTGTCAGGCCTTATCTGCCAGGAGTTACTGATTTCCACATCTTTTCCCCTTCAAAAGATCCATGTTGTAATCTAAGAGATTTTCCTTTTTAAAAAACAAACAAAAATATAACATAGGTTTGCAGAGGATTGTCAATCTCTGTACCGACACTGGAACGTGTTCTTTGAATGGAGAAATGAAAAGATGTAGGTGAGTCATGGATCAATTTTGGAAATGTATTACATGGTATATTTTTGGAAGATAGATATAAACATAGATATAAGGAGCATGCAGATGAGGGCCAGAAGTAAGTGGAGAACAACAGAGGCTCCCAAACTCCAAAAACCGTACAGGAGAAGACACAAAGAAACATGTGCCTCTGGAGAAATGTGTACACTTTGCAATAAAGCCAGTTCAGACCCAGATTAGCTGATCTATTTGCTCTGTGCATCTAAAATGCTATGCAAACAAACTCTCTTGTGATGCTCTATCCGTCTGTCTGTTGTGCAAATTCAGCAATTGATAACTAGATGTAGTATTTTTGCAAAGCTGGCTGAGTAGCAGTCTGTCCCTTACAGCAAGAAGGAAAGACAAGGATGCAGCTTCCTAAGTGATCTTAGAACTAAGTGAGACCTGATTTCAAAGATTATGTTGGAAAATATCAGTTTGACTTGTGTTACCCCATTTCTTCATCAGAGTTGCACATCCTGATTAACTGATATAATGTACAAAGAGTCCATCCCATTGTTCTGGGCCTGGTGCACCCAAACGTGGCAGCCTAGTGATTCTCTGGGATTTCCCTACAACCAGGACAGCAAGAAGACCCCATAAGAAATTCCTTCCTTTTTTTTCCCCTGGAAAAAACAAACAAACAAGCACAATCTAAGAAGGAGCAGAATGACAGCATACAATCCCCAAGACACCAAATGTGCTTAGCACCTGCCCAAAGCAGCTTGTTTGAAGTAGCATTTAATTATTTATTTGAAAACACTCAAAAGCAAGGAAAATGTGGGAGAAACTGCTTAGAGCAAAAGGAGTGGAGATGGAGAGTAAAAGGAAGCACAGGGACAATGCTCGAGGGCTTGTCTGAAGGGAAGATGGAGCTGCCCCCCAAAAATAGCTGTGGAAGGAGCAGGGCAAGACTTTGAGCATATCCAGATAAAACAAGACTCCCACCAACACAGGGTGATTCCTTGCCACTCCTGACGTCTTCCTGCAAATGCTTCTTTCCCGAGAAGGTAATCCTCCTCTCCAGAGTCCTGGAATGTTCTCCTGGATATGGTACAATGGTTCTAAGATGACATCTGCCAGCTCCTCCAGACCTCTGGGATGTAATCCATATATTTATCAAGACCAGATAGGTGTGCTCTTACCATTTTCTTGCTTATTTTAATTTTTATTTCTAGTCTGACTTTTACAGTTATGTTTTGGTAGGTTGAGTATAGTTTCTTTTTGAAGAAGACTGATGCAAAAAATGAATTAAGTAGCTCTGCTTTCTCTCTGCTACCTGTTACTTTCTTGCCATCTTCTCTCTTGAGTGGACCAACTGTTCCCTTGACTTTTTTTGTTATATATATGTTGAAAGAAACTCTTTAAAATTATCTTTGATTTTTGTTGCTAGTCTTTGTTCATTCTGAGCCTTTGCTTTTCTGACTTCATCTTTGCAAATTCTGGCTATCTTCTGATATTCTGCCTTAGTTGTGTGTCCCACTTTCCATTTTCTATACAACCATGCTGGTTTCTTCTTGGATCTCTTGTTTTTCTTTTTCAGTGGTATTGTGTTGGACTGGGCTTTTATGATCATATTTTTTCAGAGTTTCTCAAGCTTCTTGCGTTGTTTTTCCCTTAAGGATTTTCCAAGGAAACTTTCCCAAGTTCTCTCTGGGTTTATTAAAATCAATTATTTTAAAATCTAACAGTCTGATGTGATTATGTTCTATTGCTTGTGTTTGCATTATGTTGAATTCCAATATGACATGGTCAGTCTCACCCAAGGTTTCTGTAATTTCAACTCTCTATCACTTCTTCTCTCTTCATAAGAATTAAGTCCAGTATGGCTGTCCCTCTAATTCTCTCCTCTACTTTTTTGACAACAAAGTTGTCAGCAAGTTTGGTCAGGAACCTGTTTGATCTCAGATTTGATGCAGAATTAGTCTTCCAGTTGATGTCAGGGTAATTAAAGTCCCCCATTACTATTGTAGTTTCCTATATATATTTGTTAGTTGGTTAGCAAAAAGGACGTCTATTTTTTTCTGCTTGGTTGGATGGCTTATAATATACACCTATGGCCATGTCATTTTTTTCTTCTTTTATATTGACCCATATGCTTTCTAGGAGGTTTTCATCTTTGGTTTCATCCGTTTCTGTAGCCATATTAGTGATCCTTTACATACAGTGCAATCCCACCTCTTCTTTTATGGGGTCTGGGGTGGGTTTTTTTGAAGAATTTATAGCTTTCTATCGGTATGTTTCAGTGATGTGTAAACCACCAAGTTTTGGTAATGTCAACTATATTGTATCTGCCTTCATGTATTAATAATTTAAGTTCACCCTATTTGTTCCCCGTACGTTGACCATTTGTATATAGGCATTTGAGATCTTGATGTCTGACTGTAAGTATGCTTCCAATATAATCTATTTAGTGTTTAAGTTTGTCTTCCTTCTCATATCTACCTACCAATTGAGGGTTTTGCTTGGGGTTTTTGCTTGGGGCTATTGAAACTAAAGTCAAGTCCTATTACACTATAAGGACTCACAGATCCATCTCATAGAAACTTGCCTGATAAAATACATGGGAAACATCCATTTTTTTTCTATGTACAATTGCTGTTATCAAATCAGTACAATGTAGTTTCTTTGAATGTGGCTAAATTTTGTAATACTATCTGCAGATTAGGCAGATTTTGGCTGCCCACTGACAATCCGCCCATAATTGTTATATATTGTTTTGTCTTTTATTATTATGGTTCTTTGCACAGTCAACCAGATGTTCAGACTGGATTTGGCTTTTTGTCTGCCTATCAAGTCCTTTCCAAGGACCTGGGAGAGGCAGATATGGCCTGTGACCCTAATAAAATTATCATTAGTTCATTTGTGACCCCTGCTTTTCCCCTTGAAATTGCTAGGTTGAATCTGCTATCTGCAGTTAACCAACCCCCAATCATCAAAAGCCACTCAGAGCAAGCATTCCTGGAGTCCAGCAAGGACCAGCGGACTGACTCAATGCTGTAAAGCAGCAACCTGTGTACGGTTTGTGTGTTTGTGTGTCCATATCAATTTGTACAATGAGCTGGGAGTAGCATCTAGCCAAGAGGAACATTTGAACATCCACCCATGCAACTCATACAACAGAGATAATTTTGCTCCTTGAAATCATCCTTTCCTCAATTACGGTACATTTGCAACTGCTGACTCTACAGCCTATTCGCAACCCAGGACATCCATCTCCAAAGCTGCACAACGAGAAGTGACACCACAAAGCCGTTTTGTGGACGATGGCCATTTTTCATCCCCAGCATTAGCGTTCTTAATGTGACATCTCTTCTATTGAAAAGCCCCTCTTGAGTACCAACAAACAGCTCTCTGGCTGAGCAATTTTGTCCTCTAATTTAGAGTTTAAGTATATTTATTAGGAGATCACCCCTTTACTAAGCTGACAATCCCCAAATTGAATTTCAACTTCTGCTTCAGTATGTCAGTGATAGAAATCACAATCAACTGGAAGACTGTTGAGGCTGCATTTCATTAACCGTCCTCATCCAGCAAGGGGTTCAAGTGTCTTTTCTTTGGGGTTTGCAAAATACCCATTTACCATTTAGAAAGAATTCCTTATAGATTTGTAATTGGCAATAACGGCACACAATTGGATCACACCTTTGTGAAGTGCTAGGTCTCCAAAGCAGAGGTGGTATTCAGCAGGTTCTGACCAGTTCTGGAGAACCGGTAACCTAAATGTTGAGTAGGTTAGAGAACCAGCAAATACCACCTCTGACTGGCCCTGCTCCATCTCTTCTCTGCCTCCCATTGAGTCCCAGCTGATCGGCTGCGTCTCTTGGTTGCCCTGCACAGGAGAACGGAGCTGGAAAGCAGGTTAGGGGGGGTGGGGAGGGAATGGGGATTTTGCAGTATCCTTCCCCTGCCACGCCCACCAAGCCACGCTCAGAGAACCAGTAGTAAAAAAATTGGAATCCTACCACTGCTCCAAAGGCCATAGTATGGGTCCCTCGGCCCTCCTTTTCCTGAGTCCAAATTCTAGAAGCATCTTATGCACTTACTTACTTCATCTATATTCTATACGAAGCAACAGGCCTCCTTTTTATGCACAAATTACAGCAGTCCACATCTGAAATGAAATATCCTAAGCTAGAAAAAATGTGAGCCACAACATGTTCATCAGCTGAAAGCAGTAAATACACTTACTGATGAATAACACCCCAAATCGCCAGGTTCCCTTTCTCTACTCAGCTCTCTTTCCCTGCTCCTTCAGACTGATTTTGCCACTGACTTTCTGATCACAGATAATTTGAAGGCTCTTAGAACATTTTTTTTCTTTGATTTGATTTGTCAATCGCTTATAAGATAATAGGTATAAGTATAAACATGAGTAAGAAAACAGGAAATATGGATAATAAATGGGGACAATAGGACAGGGATGGTAGGCAGATGGTGCACTTATGCACGCCCCCTCACAGACCTCTTAGGAATGGGGTCAATAGTGGATAGTTTGAGGTTAAAGGAGTGGGGGTTAGAGGATGTAACAATGGAGTCAGGTAGTGCATTCCAGGCATTGACCACTCTGTTGCTGAAGTCGTACTTTCTGCAATCGAATTTGGAGCAGTTAACATTGAATTTGTATCTGTTGTGTGCTCTTGTATTGTTGTGGTTGAAGCTGAAGTAGTCATTGACTGGTAGGACATTGTAGCAGATAATTTTGTGTACTACACTTAAGTCCAACTGTAGGTGGCTACAGAATAGTCTTCATTGAAAAATCTTCATTGGAAGGGACCTTGGAGGTCATTTAGTACAGGGGTCTCCAACCTTGGCCACTTTAAGACTTGTGGACTTCAACTCCCAGAGTTCCTCAGCTAGCAGAGGAATTCTGGAAGTTGAAGTCCACAAGTCTTAAGGTGGCCAAGGTTGGAGACCCCTGATCTAGTACAACCTGCTGCTTGAGCAGAAGACCCTATATCATTCTAGACAAATGGCTGTCCAATCTCTTCTTGAAAGCCTCTAGTGAAGGAGTATCCACAACTCCGGAAGGCAATTGTTTAATTGTTCTCACTGTCAGGAAATTTCTCCTTAATGCTAAGTTGGATTTCTCTTTAAAAATCTTCCACCCATTACTTTTTTTTAAATAGGCTAGACATGCATAGTTCCCTTAACTGTTCATCACGCAGTTTATCCTCCAGCCGTTCAATCATCTTTGTTGCTCTTCTCTGCACAATTTCTAGAGCCTCAACATCTTTTTTACATCATGACAACCAAAATTGGATGGAATATTCCAAGTGTGGCCTTATCACGGCCTTATAAAATGGTACTAACACTTCACATGATCTTGATTCTATTCCTCTGTTAATGCAGCTTTGGCTTTTCTTTGGCAGCTGCAGCACACTGCTGGCTCATATTTAAGTGATTGTCCACTAAGACTTCAAGATCCCTCTCACAATTATTGCTGTTGAGCCAGGTACCTATTTTATACTTACAGATCTGGTTTTTCTCACCTGATAATAAGACCTTACTTTTCTCACCACTGAATTTTGTTTTGTCGGGTAGAGCTCAGGATTCAAGTGTGTCAAGGCCCTTCTGGATCCTGAGTCCATCCTCTAAAGTGTTAGCTATATTTCCCTCAGCTTGATTTCATGCAAGATACTGATTGACACATCTTAACACATTTTAACTTTGATTTTCCCTTGATTTTGTTCTGTTCTTGTTGCAGAACCATTATTGTCATTAATTTATTATTCAATATTTTCTACTGGAAAGGGCAATGGGCTGATTCAGTAGCAGCATAAAGTGTGCTGTATAACTCCCTGTCATTTCATCTCTTGCTGTGCAAATTATTTTCAGTGTCTCCTACTTCAGTAATGTTGCCATGAGCTTTCATTCTTGTACAGAATAGAATTTTCTTTTGAGATGTTTGTATAGCTTGGTTAGAAATGATGGATTTTGCTGTCCCAATTACTCAGAGCTACTCCAGGCTGTCCTGCTTGGTTGGCTGTAAGACAGAAACAGTTCTGCAGCCTTGAATTTGGTCAAACAAGAGAAAATGGTTTTATAGTGAAATTAATGTAGCCGACCAAGCTGGTTGTTTTGGCTGATAGGTAAATGATGACTCCTTCACTAGAAACAAACAAAACAAAACAAAAAAGAATACTATAACCATTGCACAAACAGTTAAGATTTAGAAAAAGAATTATTAAGAGGCTGGACTGCTTAGATGAAAAAATGGACAACAGGAAGACAAATACAGGTTAATGAAAAGGAAATTAATGGACCAGAATGAGCAATATGTAACCAAGGAGTTGTAGGAGGAAACAGGCAGGATGGTAATTAGTAATTTTGCAAAGCAGATGACTCTAGGGGATTGTTTTACATAAAGGAGAGTTGTCTGTCTGTAGGGGGAAGATTTTTACATAAAAAAATAAATTAAAATAAAACAAACTTCTTACATAAAAAATAATTGCCTGTTTGAAAGGAGAAGCAGTCTACAAGTTGGAGAAAAATAAAAGAGAACAGCAGAAAGGAATTGAATAAAGGTTACCACCTGAATTTTGAGACAACTGTTTCAGATAATTTTTGAAGGATTTTTGTAATTATATTTTAATGAAGACCAATAAAACTACTAGCAAGAAATAAACAGCAGAACAATCAAATCCAACACCATACAGCATGACAAGTAGGCTGGCAGACAAGAGGGTGCTGCTGGGTTGGGGGTAGAGTTTCCATGTGGATGTGCAAGTGACTGACACAGCAGGAGTGTGGTGGGGTTTGGGGTGGCAGCTACAAGGTGTGGGAAATTTACCACAGCAAGTTCCAACCTTCCCCACTGGCTTCCCTGTTGATTTCCAGGGGAGGTCACAAGTGACAATCACATGATGTGGGACACTGCAACTGTCCTTAAGTGTGAGCCCGTTGCTAAGTCCATGTGACTGTGATGGGCAATTATATTCTGATTGCCACAAGGAAGAGGGGATCAACCTATTCTCCAAAGGACCAGAAGGCAGCACAGGAACCAAAGGATGAAAACGAATCAAGAAGTGAAGCAACTAAGGAGAAATTTCCTGACAGTGAGAACAGTTAACCAGTGGAACAACTTGCCTCTAGAAGTTGTGGATTCTCCATCACTGGAGGCTTTTAAGAAGAGTCTGGCTACTTCTCCAAAATGGTATAGGGTCTCTTGCTTGAGCAGGGTTTTGGACTGGATGACCTCCAAGGTCCCTTTCAACTTTGTTATTCTTTTATTTTGTCATAAGTACCAGCATCTTCGTAACTGAATGAGCAGTCATAACCTGAGAATTACCTATATATTTGACAAAAAGCATCCACGAAAGAGACCTAAAACAAGATGGATTGACAACATCAGGAAATATTAAGGGCTCAATTGGCAAAAGAAAGCTCAGGACTATATTGGTTGGAAACATGCAGAATAGGCCTTCAGCCTTCAGCCTGCAATGGATAGAAAATGACTAGAATCAGGGGTGGGATTCTACTGGTTTGGACTGGTTCTATAGAACTGGTGGTTATGATTCTGTGCAGTTTGGAGAACTGGCAAATCATGCCCCTGGCTGGCTCTGCTGGCCCTCCCTGCCTGCCTTTCCCCTCCCCACCCAGTCAGTCCTTATCGTGCATGTGCGACATCTTGTGCATGCCCAACATTGCTGATTGTGTTTCCCCCCCAGTCACTCCTTAAGGTATTTCTTTTTCCCCCTCCCGATGATCAGCTGTTCTGACGACCAGCTGTTCTGACGATCAGCTGTTCTGATTATCAGCGGTTCCGATGATCAGCTATGCTGGGATCCCCCTTGCTGTCTTACTGCTTCACCTAGGAGGCTTCCCTGAGGCCCAGGAGGCAAAAAACTGGGGGGGGGTGGGGTGTTTGCTGCAAAAAAAAAGAAGAAGAAGCCATACCCACCCAGTCATATGGCCCTGCCCACCTAGCCACACTCACAGAACTGGTTGTTAAAAAAAATTGAATCCACCCCGACTAGAATAATAATGAAATGAGAGAGAGAGAGAGAGAGAGAGAGAGGGGGGGGGAGAGGGAGGGAGAGATGCTATAGACATAGAATATGAAAATTGGTTATAGAATATTAACTCTAGCTTTTGCATATGCTCCTAATCAGTTTGGTTACTTACTAAAGATTATGAATTATACAGTAAGAGATGACTTCAATAATAGATTCATTAAAATCTTTAATAACATTCAAAATGGATCGCATAGTCACGGATTTGTTGATTCATGTACAATTTTAAATCCTACAATAAAGAAATACATTTTATTCAGCTAGATATAAATCCTACTTTCAGACAGATTATGTATGAAGATTGAAAACTTTCAAAAAATTTCCAACAGGTTAAAATTGTCCCAATACTTATATTAGATCACACTCTGCTGATTATTATGCTCCAATTAGAAGAGATTATCCCATTTACTTGTAATTGGCATTTTAATACTATGTTATTATACAATGCAGCTGCAACAATTAATTCAATGTTTGAGGACTTCTTTTGCAAGAAAATAATACAAATGGAACATCAATAAGAATAAGGTGTGATGCTATGAAGGCTGTATTAAGAGGAGAGTGCATAAACAAGATGAGCACATATAAGGAAAATAGCATCACAAAAGGCAAGCAACTTTATTCAAAACTTGACAATCTATTAGCAAAATATAACTGGATCAGCTACTATATATAAGTAAATGTAAATAAACATAAAACATTGAATAACTGGGTTAAAAAGGACCTTGGAGGTTTTCTAGTCCAACCCACTTGACTCTTGACGAATGTATCTTTTATTTTATGTACATTGAGAGCATTTGCACCAAGACAAATTCCTTGTGTGTCCAATGACACTTGGTCAATAAAGAATTCTACTATAGGAGATCCTATACCTATACAATTCTGGACAAATGGCTGTCCAATTTCTTCTTAAAAACGTCCAGTGATAAAGTAAATAGTAACTTTACTAACAGCAAATAAAAAGAGAAAATAAGATAATTTAGAGAGAGGTAAAAGCTCATCTCAAATAATTATTTCCAAACAAAAATACAAAATTCCAAATGTGATAATACAAATTCTAGAATATTGCCAAATAAATTGAAAAACCTAAGGGGAAAAAATGTATTAATGCAGTTATAAACAGGAATGGCTGAGCGGAAACGAAAGCCAAAGACTAAAGAATTCAAACATTTTTTCAACAACTATATTCCTCAAATAATCTATCACTACTATAAATTAGAATTTCCAGAATAAGCTCAAGAGGATATACAGTTTATGGCAAGGGTGTTAAACTCAAGGCTCGTGGACTGGATCCAGACCGTAGGTTGCTTAAATCTGGCCAATGGGGCCAGCCTAGAAATAGCAACGGACTGGCCCGCGGTGCCTCTGGCAGCCAAAACGGGGCACGGGGGAGCACCTGCTTATCCCCCATGTCCTGTTTTTAGCCTAGACAGCCTTCTGCAGCACTCTGCCGACCAAAACAGGCCGCAGGGGTGCCACACATGCCCCCTTGCCCCATTTTGGCCAGCAGAGCGCTGCAGGAGGTGTCCATCCTGTCTCCCCTTCCCCCACCGGCCCACGGAGGAGGACCACAGTTCTGATCCAGCCCTCGAAGAAATCCAGTTTGACACCTCTGGGTTATGGAATCTCCTTTCTCTATTTCAGAAACCCCCAAAGTCCTTAACAATAGCACTTAGACTTATATACTGCCTCACGGTGCTTTTCCAGCCCTCTCTAAGCGGTTTACAGAGTCAGCCTCTTGCCCCCAACAATTTGGGTCCTCATTTGACCCACCTTGGAAGGATGGAAAGCTGAGTCAACCTTGAGCCTGGTGAGATTCAAACTGCCAAATTTGAACTGCAGTACTGCACTACCACTGTGCCACTGCAGCGCGTAACACTATTCAAAATGGAAAATCTCCTCGCACTGACAGAGGAGCCAGGGGAATTTTATGAAGAATTTGAAGAAGTCTTAATACCTGAAGCTTTATTTTTATGGAATACTTGGCACCCAAGAGATCCCTTCCAGAGTCTTCGTAACACTAAGATAATTCTAATTAGCTAACAATTCTCAGGAAATGGGTCTGTCTCAATATATGGTGTAAACTATAAATTAAATTGTTAGCTGACCCTTTAAAATTATTTATATAGATCAATCTAATTTTATTCCAGATCAAAATATATCTATTTCTATCAGGAAATTATTATACAATTTAGTAAAATTAATGCTTTTTCTCTAATCATATGTTCTTTAAATATATTTAATAGAATAAAAGAGTTGGAAGGGACCTTGGAGGTCCTCTAGCCTGCTCAAGCCATTTCAGACAAATGGCTGTCCAATCTCTTCTTGAAAAACCTCCAGTGATGGGGCACACACAGCGTCTAGAGTGAAGCCGTTCCACTGGTTAATTGTTCTCACTGTTAGGAAATTTCTCCTTAGTTCAAAGGCTTTGTTTCTTTGAAACTACAGTTTTCAAAACAAATATTAAACCAATTTAAATCTGGGACTAGCTTTTGCAAGATAATTCAATATATTGATGGACCAACTAGAGCTCAGATAAGACTGAACAGTTACAATTCTGATTCTATCATGATTTTAAGAGATACCAAGCAGGACATCTTTATTATTCAATCTAGTTATAAGAAGTGCTGGAATACGATCCAACGATCAGATTTTCAGGATAGAATTGGGTGGTAAGATGTATCTTTTAAAACTAAAACCAGATGATATGGTCCTGCTCTCACAAATGCTTCCCATTCAGCTTGGGAAGGGGTTCTCAAGAGAAGGGGTTGGAATAATTTGGCAGAGGTGTCAGGACTATCAGCTAATTTTTATAAATCACATCATGTTTTCAACATCTTAGGGTAAAATACAGTGGTAAAAATAAAAATCATTGCACAGCTCAATTTTCTATTTCAATGCCTCCCAGTGGAAATTCCAAAACCAGCTTTAAGACATAAACAAGTAAATAACAGAAATCTGCTTTCATGCAAAAAGGCTGAGAATAAATAATCAGATTTTATATAGACTTCAGAAAAAGGAGGCTGGGCACACCCTACTGGATAATATATTTTCAAGCACCATTTGGGGCATATGTTCCCATTCATTATAGAAGTCTCTTCTAAACAATGGACCCAAACTGAAACTGTATTAGAGGCAAATTATTTTATAAATTAATGGATTTTTCACCGACAATATTTTAATAGAATGAAACAGAATGAAAATATTTTCACTAAAATGATGTTTCAAATTGGGAAGAATAAAGACAGAGCTTTGATAACAGATACTTCTCCTTTAATATGATACCATGTAGAAGAAGGGTCTGCTTTACAAACTGAGTCATGTCATCCCCTGTAAAATCCTCTTCTTGCCTAATAAACAACATGCTCAGCAACAGATGCTTTCAAATCATTATGGGGGACAATATTAGCAAGTTAAAAAGACTCAACAACGGCTTTCCACAAGGCTCTGTACCAGTGGTGGGATTCAAAAATTTTTTTACTACTGGTTCTGTGGGTGTGGCTTGGTGGGCATGGCAAGGGAAGGATATTGTAAAATCTCCATTCCCTCCCCATCCCACTAACCTGCTTTCCAGCTCCGTTCTCCTGTGCAGGGCAACAAAAGAAGACCCAGCCGATCAGCTGGGACTCAATGGGAGGCAGAGAATAGATGGGGGTGGGGCCAGTCAGAGGTGGGATTTGCCGCTTCTCCAAACTACTCAAAATATCCACTACCAGTTCTCCAGAACCGGTCAGAACTTGCTGAATACCTCCTCTGCTCTGTACTGGCACCCAAACAGTTCAATCTTTTTATCTCAGATATGCCAGCTAGAAGGGGGTGTAAATTTGGGTACGCAGATGACTTGGCCCTAGCAGTGCAAAATAAAAACTTGGAAGTATTGGACTGCCTCCTCTCTGAGGACCTGAAGTCCCTGGGAAAATTCTTTGCTGACTGGAGATTCATACCCAGTGTCAGCAAAATAGTGACCACCTGTTTCCATCTCAACAACAAACTCATCAATACCACCCGGAAGATCTACCTGAATAACAAACTAACCCCCTATGATCCTCACCCCAAATACCTTGGAATAACTTTGGATCAGACTCTATCCTGTAAGAAACACCTAGAGAACACGTCTATTCAAATCAATACCAGGAACAACTTACTCCAGAAACTAAGAGGATCAAGATGGAGAGCCTCAGCCTCTACTCTCAAAATATCAGCATTAGGGTTGATTTACTCCACAGCTGAGTACTGTGTCCCCGTTTGGCTTAATAGCTGCCATGCTAGCAAGATCAATATTAGACTAAATGATACAATGATCATAAGTGGTTGCATAAAATCTACTCCTACTTGCTGGCTCCCTGTGTTGAGCCACATTGCACCACCAGCTTTACGAAGGCAGGAAGCCTTAGTGAAGGAGTACAACAAAATTATGAGAAACCCACTTCTTCCTGTGCATGCTGATCTTCCTCACCTATCAATTGGCAGGCTTAAATCTAGGAAGACTTCTCTGGCACTCGCTCAACAGCTGCCTAACAACTTTAACATCAACACACTCTGAATGCCCAGAGACAGACAGTTACCTAGATGACCCTACACAGAAGGTGCTGGGTTTTGACCTTCCTCACCAGCATTGGTCAACTCTGAACAGGATCCGTACCCAACATGATGTCTGCCAGAACTCATTGTTTAAGTGGGGTCTTGTCTGTACCCCTCAGTGTGACAGTGGTGCTCCTCAACAAAATATCTATCACATTGTGTCCAAATGTCCATCAAGATTTTCCCTGGCCCAATGTCCGGTTTTTTTCAACATATACCACCTGTAAGGACCAGCCTCTCCCCACTTTCAAAACAAGTATAGACTCTTGAAAACTTTGTATTTCAAAAGGAACCTTTAATTGAAAAGGGGTGAAAGCAAGTCAGAATTCAAAGCAGGCTTTGATGTTCCTCAGGGTATACAACTAGGATACAGCAAATTAGAAACTCCTCCCAACAGTCTGATGTGGATTCCACCAATCTGCAGGTGTAAAGATGCTATTTCACTGGTGTCTCTGTGAAAGCAGATAAGAAACGTTTCTCAGAGCTATCTTTTGGCATTGTAATCCACATAGCCCCCTCCTCCCCTTGCATTCCCCCAAGAGGTGAGAATTTTCCGGGCATTTGGGGTGCCAGGCCTAACCCATGTACTGAAAAGTACTAAATAAGGTACAGTTCAACATTTACCTCACAGTTAACTAATCGGTGGAAGGAGCAATCTTCAAACAGGCAGCATTTTGCTTCAAGCCCTCCAAATGCTCACCTGATCAATGCCCCAGTTACACCTGAAAAGTCAGGTAGATAACACAGAAAACATATGTAGAAAAGGCTGTTTGCCTTGACATCTTTTGTAACCTCTCAGGATGTTTTTCTCATCCTCACCACCTTGAGATTTTACCAATCCACATCTGAGGGATTAAGAAAGAGAGAATCTCTCAGATAAGAGTCCTGAAATAACAGCAAGCTCTCTTCTCTTATGAGCTGTCATTGTGTAAAGGCCATATGTATGAGAAGGGCAGCCATACATTTACTAAATAAATGAATAAAAGGCTATAAATACAAAAAGTCTGAGTTGAATCTGGCAGCAAAAGACTTGGCAAGTAAATTATGCTGATTTTTTTTTTAAATATATGAATTGCTAGAAGGTAAAGAGGTCATGAAACCAAAGGAAATAACTAAATCAGGGGTCTCCAAACCTGGCAAATTTAAGACTTGTGGACTTCAACTCCCAGAATTCCCCAGCCGGCCATAACTAATGCAATTCCCCAATGGCTCAACAAGTCTTAAAGTTCCCAGGTTTGGAGATCCCTGAACTAAAGAAGTACCAATGAAAAGAAAAAGGAGCAAGGAAAAAGGGAAGAGGAGCACATAGAAAGAAGAGGTGCTAGTAGCAGAGGAGTGACCAAATTGCTGGCACCTGGTGAGAATTAGCAACCTGTAAAGGATTGATGAAAACTTTTGTTGGGAGTGGGGGGGGGATTTCGGGACACCGGGGTGTTAGTAGATATATCACAGTTAATTAAGGGATTGGGTTAGGGGACTGGAGGCTAAAACATATGATGAACGGATACAAATACTCGGCGTGACTAGTCTAGAGAAGAGAAGGACCTAGGGAGACATGATAGCAGTTCTCCGATATTTGAAGGGCTGCCACAGAGATGAGGAGGCCAACCTTATTTCCAAAGTACCTGAAGGCCAGACAAGGCATAATGGATGGAAACTGATCAAGGAGAGATTCAACCTAAAAATAATGAGATACTTCCTAACAGTGAGAACCATCAGTCAATGGAGCAGAAGTTGCCTTCAGAAGTTGTGGGAGCTTCATCACTGGAAGCTTTCAAGAAGAGACTGAACTGCCATTTGTCAGAAATGGTG